CTACTGCTACTGCTACTGCTGTTACTGCAACTGCTACTGCTACTGCTACTGCTGCTGCTGCTGCTGCTGCTACTGCTGCTACTAGTACTGCTGCTCCTCGTGCTAGTATGCTGCTGCAGGAATACTAGCAGCACTAGTATAGTATAAAGTTATTATGCTGCATCAAAACGCCTATTCTCATCGTCGGTGTTGATACTGTTGCTGTTTCGTCTATGTAAGCGAGATGTTTAATGCCGTTGTTGCTGTCATCCGGCACACGAGCCCAAAGTTACCAGCGATCCCGCTGATAGTCCCCAAAATCAATACAATATCGTATTTTTCAAAAAGCGGTTGTCTGCTTGTAATTACTAGGGCCCCTACCTCTACATGAAAAGATGGTCGGCTGATGCAGTAGAAAAGACTCATGGCCGGACAACTAGCTAGCTCCCAGCAATGTGTCTGTAGGTAAGCTTACCTGTTTGTCTGTTGCATGTTCTGACGATTAACGTTGTAGTAATTGGTTTGTTGCCGTTCCTCATGTGTCCATCTCAGCCACAACTTGCCTGTTGCTGGCTGTTCAGGGCGGTTTCGCACCGCAGTGGCGCGACACAATGCTCGCCCAGATGCGAGCTGGAGGGCAGTGCTGGCCTTAAGTCGGGTGATTTAGTGCCTTTCGGGATTGAGGAGACGAAGGGCCCGAACGCACGCTCGACCCCAGCATAGTGCCAAGCCCCTTTGGAGTCGAGTTGTCTCTACAAGCCCTTGAAATGCTTCCTGTCACTCTGAAACTTTATGCAGGTGGTCGGCCCTTTCGCTGACTATACAGATGCAGAGTTCAAGGCCTTGCATGAGAATGCAGATGAAGTCAACACGAAGTTTGGAGCTCTTTCGTGGTCCAGAGCGAAACAATGCCAAGTACGTTTTTTCGGCATATGTCCTACTAGCAGTTTGGGTAGGCTCAGTGTAAAGCCTGAGCTCTGAACCCTGACGTTCCTTCGGACAAAGTCTGTGCTCGGGGTCCAAGAATGAGAAACATCAGCAAACAAAGCCGGAAGTAAGGGAAAGTGCTTGTCCGACTTTCACACTCTCTTGAGTCGAGTCACCTCAACTGACGAAGCCTAAGAAGCGCTGTCAAGACTCGTGTGTCGTGTATTGTCTGGATTTCGAGTTCCAATATAGTTACTACCCTGAACATCCCCTGCAAATTCGTATTTCTAAACCCTGATACCCACAGGCTTCCCGCTCAGAGTGATTGTGCTGCCAAGAACCCTCATACCCGACCGGCCGTCAACCGGGAATCCCAAGACCTCTCGGCCCCTCGGCAGGCGCTCCTTGGACATCGCCGCACCTTCAGACCAGAGGCCCGGCAAAGTCAGCTGAATAGACGGCACGGCTCAGAGGGTATACGCTGGAGGGATCCTTTTGACCAGGTGTGCCACATGAGATTCCATCTCCCCCCAAAAAGACTTGCGCTTTAAGGTCCAGGAAAATGTGGGAATTAAGTCTGGAGGATTTCGATCAGACGCAGTGTCACAGCCAGTCAGTACTACGTACAGCCTTTGGCCATTGGCTGCGTGCATCCGTTTGCCATGAAACCAGAATGCTGGAGCCATTTCCGTTCTTTGGAGGTCAAACCCGCAAGCTCCTTCCTGCAGACAGAGCCCCACAAGACAGTCACACAAACTGCTGCGTGGCTTAAGCCGTGACCGTTGGTTGTGCTTGGAAACGAGAGTTTCTGAGACTGCGGTCCGTCCCTGGGAAAGGCCGCACACCACGTTCGGCCAGCACTGCATAGCAACGCCACCGAATGATGCTGGTACTACATGAAAACAGGTATAATTTGCATTCCAGTCAGTGCAGCACATCGAGTAATCACACTCATCGTGTCTGTGAGCATGCCAAAGAGTGCGAGGTTGAGAGTGGCAGAGAGCGAGAGATTGATTAATTAGCTCATGGTAGGTTAGGTTAAAGTAGACTATACTGGACATATGTATAGAAAGATAGGTAGTCAGGTAGATGCGGAATTTTGTAGATCGATGAACAGGTAGATAAAAAGATCAAGATGGGGAGATTCTGAGAGCCTCGTGTTTGATGGCAGTCCACACGCACGCACAACGAAAGTTGAAAGTAATTTGGGTGTCTCCTTGCATCGGATCAAGGTCGACTGGACGGACAAATTGAGTTCTGTCAGAAGTGTCAAGGACCGGCATCCACCTGAGCCTGAAACGATGGATTTACCGATGGAGCACAGTAGGCTGACGTTGGAACAGCGCATGGTCTTGTTCCTGGGCCCCACTGGCCTTGTCCAGCCCTCAAGTTTTGAGAGTGGCAGGAACAAGGTTCGTGTGGTTCCTGCTGGGCGGTGGCGGCCATTGGTGCGTTGGAGATGCATGCAGAGCTGGCCTTGCAGAAGGACCGCACCGCACGATGTTAGGAAATGGTGGCCTCAACTCGTGGTTCGGATGCTGGAGCGCTCTTGCTGGTCAAGTAGGTTTCAGAGCCCGAGGTTATACATTAAACGTCGGAGACCCCACAGCAAAGCTGCAGCACTGAGACGTGTGGACCATACTGAGCCACAGAGTCGGAGCAACAGCATCTGTGATTGTGAGCAGGCAGGCTCTGCGCTCTCCTCGAACCAGGCGCGCATTCTCCTTCTTGGGGGGGGAGCATTCACGTCGGGAGCGTTCATGCCTGGCTCACCTTCCACTTGCACCCAACTCCCCCTCGATCCCCGAACCATGACCAATGCCAGGGTGCATTGACATTGATGTCAGGATGCATGGCACTGTAGACTAATGAAGCTTGGCAATGTACTGGTAGCTGCGTCGCGAATTTAGGGTTGAAAGACAGGCGCGTAGCGAAACCATTTACCATCTTGCATGCATGATGCGCCTGGATTTGTAGCGACCCAGCAAGAGTCCGACACCCATGTATCTTGGGAGGTGAAAGATTGCTCCACAAATCCAAAGCACTGTGGCCGCTTGGCCTTGCTTGTGGAGCAAGGGCACAGTTGTTGTGCGGATTCGGAATTCTTGGACATCCATCAGAGTGAACGATTCTTGGGTGGATCTTGCCAGGGCATCTCGAGGCCCCGGGCCTTTGCGACATTGGGCAACACTGCAGAGCTGGCTATCGTTGAAGTATTGCACGGGCTCTTTATCGATGTCCAATTTAGGGCCGGTGCTGATGCCATGAGACGTCCTCATTATGCCCTGTTGTGGCCAAGGGGGCAGTGGCGGCTGCCAGGGTTCCACCTCGGAGCTTGCATATGTGCCCTCGTCGGCACTTGAAACGTTGTGTTGTAACAATACAGGCTCAGGTTGAATGAGTCTGCGCAGTATCGGCTGCAGTGGGATCGATTGGTACTTCTGGCCACCATCAGGTAGACAAAGGGTGGACAAAGAGCCTTTTGAGCGCATCTCCTCTGCTACAGACAATAAGCGGCTGGATCCTTTTTCGTTTGCGCCGCGACAGTGACTAGATGAAGCTTGTGCAGTCTACTCTGCCGATCTTAAACAGGTCAAAGTACGGCGATGCAAATGGCAGAACTATGCACATGCACATGTGTATGTTTGTATATATATATATACTGAACAAATTATGTATATGTATGTGTATTTAGATATAGCTGCACGTATGTATACATATATATATATATATATACATATATCTATTTATTTATTTACTTATACATACTCAGAGACAGACAGACAGACAGACAGACAGACAGACAGACAGACAGACAGACAGACAGACAGACAGACAGACAGACAGACAGACAGACAGACAGACAGACAGAGAGCGGGGCTAACCAACACCGTAGGGGGACCATGACACATGCCTTCTCATGATGTTCGTTGTTTTGCTAGACTCGTTGTGTGCTGCTCTTGTTGTTTTTGGCAGTAAGCAGGGGGGACACGTGAAGACCATGAACCGTCCGATTGGGTGATTTCGCTGGGTATGAAACAATACATAGAATTGTTTTTCATGTTGCCTCTATCGATCTTGTTAATTACTATCACTGTTTGCATTCGGTAACAGACATCACACCGCGAAACAGTTCTCACGATCTCTCCACATGCCCCATAACGTATGGGGGGCCGAAGTGGCCGGGGGATCTTGACCGTTCCCCCAAGCCCCGTGGAAGAAGAGAGAGGGCCTTCGCGTATGCCACTCTGCCTGACTCAGCTTGCTGTCGGTTGACGCATGTTGAAACCAAGGACTACATTGTGAAAAACGGCATTGCCCTCGACAGCACCTACGGAGGGGATGCCTGACTGGCAAAAGGCCGACATGTCCAAGGTCGCAAGCCGTTCGGAGTCGGAGCAATTCTAGAGTGCAGCCTGTGGCCTCGCCGTCGTACTGCAAGAAGAGAGCCTGCACGGTAGCAAGCTGCAGTTCAATCAGAAGTCGTGACCTGCAACTTCGGCTGAGGACAAGAATCGCGATTCAAGCTGCCAGCCGCACAAGCCCTACTTGCACATTGCAGGCATGCCGTCGCTATGAATCACTGTGACAAGTGTGCTGGATCAGTGCTTCGCTAACACGAGCCGCCACTTCCTTGGCTTTTTTTTGATGACTAGGAACATCCGCGAGTCTCTTGTAATTAACGCCTGTGCAATCCGCACTCACGACTCTATTCGTTATCCGTGCGCAATGATGGTTTGTCTGCGATTAATTCTTGGCACTCATGACTCCGTTATTCCCACCCACATCCCATGAGCATTCCGTCATGGATCGGTCTCCAGCCCCGGGCCCCGACCTGTGCCGCACAGGCTTTCAGCCGTTGCCCGTGAACAAGCTCCAGCCGCTCATGGAAGCCGTATCTACGAAAGGGCCACTTGGGGCCCCACTTAGGACATTGCGGTGGTTAAGGAGTGAGAGGTTGGCAGTTGCAGGATGTTGTAGGTCCTGAGTGACATGTCGCGAAAACATCCGAACCAAGACCCGTCGTTGTGTCCATCGATGCCTCCGGCTGGAATTCCTACAGTGCCGGCATCTTTGACGCTGTGCTGATTCACAATGTGTTTGTGATTCAATTCTTTTTGTGTGTTGAGTATAAGCTCAGTGTTGCCTCTCTTGCGAGTCACGAACTCGGATTCACATCCCAGTTGTGGCTTTCTGCGCACAGGATAGCTGTGACAAGGATGCCGTTGTGAACCATGCTGTGGTTTTGGTTGGCTACGGCAAGTCCAAGTCGGAGAACAAGGACATGATTTCGATGCCGGTGTCCTGCAGGGCTTCCTGGGACAGGCGAATAGCAAAGGAAAAAGTCAGTGGGCTCGAGACTCGGGACAATGCCAATCGTGAAGTTATTCTGGAGACTCAAGATAAGCCTGATGCGAATCTCGTGAATCATGGCTGTCTCCTGGACGCCAGGATTACTGGCTCATTCGCAACTCCTGGGGCGAGGGTTGGGGTGAGAAGGGCTTCATCCGACTGCTCCGTCACAGCAGCGACCAAGGAGCGCAGCCAGGGAGCGGGTGTAGGGTTTGGGGTGTAGGGAAAGTTTTGGGTTGCATGAAGCGCAAGCCTAGACTTGGGAGTTGTCTCGCAACCTTCAAGATTTCGCACAGGCTTGTGGTGAGACTACTACCACCGATTCTGAAAGTGCCAACAGTGGGAAGACGGGGGCAAGACTCGCAACCATCCGATGTTCAAGCTCCATCCAGCTAAGCATTTGTGCAATGTGCACACACATACACGCATGTCACAGAGCCGCAGAGACCAAAGTACCGGTACCATAGCTTGCAGAAGCTGGAACCGCCTTGATGCCAAAGCCCCGCCATACCGAAGAGGTGATGCAGGCTACTGTGGCACGGACCGAAACCCGAAGGAGCGCAACTTTGTTGTTGAGTGTTTCGTCAGGCTTTAAGCAGGAATGGCCCAAGGTTGTAAAGTAGAGTATGTAGCTTCCGGGATCGAGGGGTCTTCATGTTCACACCCGCAGATCGCGGAGATGGAGGAGATTGAACCGTGGGGGTCCAAGTAGTAGGAAGTCAGGTAGAGCAAGGCCGTAAACGAAGCAGCTCGAACCTTGGAGTCTCGGATCAGTTCCTTTGCCGCTGTCTTACTTCCATTGCGGTTTCTCCAATTTCACAAATCCAAGACAAGCCTTACGCACATCCTTAGAGGTTGCGGCAAGATGTGTGCGAGTGCGATGCTTTTGTGGTACACCGCTTTCGGTACGATTTTTAGAAGCTGTGACTCGAGAGTTGGTTGTAAAAACTCTCCGGCGACTTGCTTCCTGTTGTGGTGTAAGCCGATGTCTGATTCAGTTTGGGCGATCGGTCCAGGCCGTTGAATAAGCATGGTGTCGTGTACTGCCGTACACAACTTTTGCTGAACCAATTGTACCCGTGTCTGATATCCTGTTGATTGCCCAGGGAAGCCACAAGCTCGGTGACTTGCCAGCCCATCTGAGGCATTCTATAGCATCAAGCACGACCCACCGGCCCAAGCAACGAACCAAGAAGCCTTTCCTGTAGCCGTGCAGCCTTAAGCACCTAAGTCTGACTGCGTAATCCTTTATTAGACTTCCGCGGCAGAACGGTGTATCTCCCGAAACACCTGCCTCACAGGAAGGCGTTGGTTGCGACGGCGGGCCCCCGGAAATTCCTGTTTGTGGCATGTGCGGCGTACTCTCGGAGCCTCGCCAATTTCATGCAATTTCTGGCCGCTTCGTGGTCATACTGCTTTCTAGTAACATTTGCTTCAAGGCTTCTGCGCACGGGAAGCCACCACGTCGTCTTTGTTTTTGGGTACTTCGTGTTGAAGCCAGTATCGCCAAATGCATTACAACCACGACAGTTACTGAACGGCATCTTCGGGCCAGAAGCATTTCGAACACTGCAAAAATGCCTGCAGCGGTAAACAGCCTCCGCAGAGCACCCGCTAATTCACCGACAGTTCGGGCTGCCTGTAGATTCCTGTGTCGACAGGCAGGGACCATAACTTAGACCATTAAGTCGCTGCTATAGTCCGAAACCCTCAGCTAAACCGAAGGCTCAGCTTGAAATCTGCAGCTCCTTACGGCCCTCTTCGGGCCTATACACCATAAATCTCCGCCTCATGAGACCGCCTCGCCTTCGCTGAGGATTCCGTCTATCCTACCGGACTCCAGCTCGCCTGAGAGGCTTTAGAACAGCTTCAACTTCCCCCGAGTAGAAACCTCTGCGACTCCAGTAGAAGGAAGCCCGGCACTGTTGATTGTCATGGCTCTCAATCTCCCGCTGTCTCTCTCACTCTCTCTGTCTGTCTTTCTCACTCTCACTCTGCCGCCTTCTCTCCCTCCCTCGCCCGCTCACATTTCACATACTTCTCATGACAGAGGCGCCTACATGATCTACATGCAAGTACACAAACGAAGACGCATATAAGGTAGAAAATTAGAGAAGCAACACAAACACATGTACGTTCCCGGTTTACGTTTATACATGCTTGCCCATGCCAAGTCAAGCCGAGTCAATTCGCGCATGTTGGTTTGCATGCTTGTCTACATGAAGTCTGCAAGCGTATGCCCTGTGTTGCTCTGAGCTCATGCCTCCAAATGACAGCATGATTTCGATGGAAGTCAACGAAAGGAGGGACGCACGCATGCACGCGCGCATGCATGGATGGATGGGATGGATGGATGCGTAGGTAAGTGAACAAATCAATGAAACCAACGAACGAATGAACGGACGAACGAACGAACAAGGCAAGCTAGGACGGAAGGAAGGAAGGGAGGGAGGGAGGGAGGGAGGGAGGAAGGCAGGAAGGAGAGGAGGAACGCAATGCTAAATTAATGGATGGATGGAAGGATTGATGGAATGAAATGGATGAGCGAATGAATGGGCGCATGAATGAGCGAAACGACCGATGGAAATGGAAGGAAGCAGTATGACTGCTTGCCTATGAATGAATGATGTGTTGAGTGCGCACGTTCCTCCATGCGGCGCACAGCGCACACTGGTAAGCAGACAATCGGACGGATGGATGCAGCGGCAGAGAGAAAGAGTGGGACAGAGAGCTGGCTCGACAGCACACGGGCCGAGCAGGTGCACGAACAGACGCGAAAAGACAGGCCTGTACATGCATGCAACTTCGCATGAGCACTAGCGCTCAAGCAAGCAAGATGTACTTTGCAGATGTAAGGGCAGGAGTATAGACGAGCTATGCAGGCTGCTGAGTCGTGGGGTAGCCTTACGAGGCGTTCGGCATAGCTGTTCATCTGGGCTGTCCGCAAATGCGGACGCCACGCCCCGTTTTGCTGCGACAGAGCCCTGGCCAACAGCCGGCCCTAGAAGGACATCGCAACTGAAAACTTGGCCGTGACGAATATCTTCTATCATCTTGAACCAGAACTTGCTGAGCTTAAATGTCCAAGAGAACGCCTGAAAAGAGATGCTAGCAGGGCTTTCAGATCTGAGTTCCTCAAGTCAGGGCTTTGCCTGACCTGTCTTTTTGCGTTGACCCAGTGGTGCCCATGCACTCCAACGGTAAATGGGCCCTTTGGATATGTAGCTTGCGACAGACGCCTTGCTCATCCGGCGCACGCCTGAAGCTACAGAAACCTGCTCGTGTGCATCTCTCAGTTTCGGAGTTTGGGGCATCGAACTTTGCTGCCCCAGGTTTCTGCATCCGATAGCCGCAAGAGTCGCTTTAAGTGAAGTGCAGGCGCCATATCAATCCCGCTACTGGGATCAAAGCTCGTTTGAACTGTGCCCAGGTGGAAAGTCTCGCGCGGGAGTTTCGCATGGAGGCGCTGCTTCACCAAATGAAGGCCATGCCGGAGCTGAGCGCTAGGGGTCCCAGACTTTGATTCTATGACATTAGCCTGGCGGGCATACAAATGCATAGGCAGTGCATATCACGGGTACTATGTATATATATATATATATGCATATATATATATATAGAGTTCAACAGCAGGTTAGATAGTTTCGCTATGTTGTATCTACGGTACGTTTTGCGTCAAACCCGTCCTGCGGGAAGCTTCGGAGTCTGGGGACAAGGTTTGTGCCAATCGAAAGCCGGATTAAACATGGCTTGGGGCAATCGGCCAACTGAGCAGGGATGTGGAAGTGCACAGGCTTGGAGCTCAGACTGATGGTGCTGCCAAACAATTACATTCGCGCACGTTGTGTACTTACCAGCCCGAGGAAGACAAATTGGCTTGGTAATTAAGCAGAAAGGTGGTTGAGCACTGCCAGGTTGGAGAGGTCCGGCTTTGCACGTCACGTAACGTTCGGGTTTAGTTTAACGACCGTGTACTGGCGCACGACTGACGATTTGCGGTCGTCGGGTTTCATGTTCAAGCGAACATTGGCTGGAAGTCGTCAGACTTACTCACGCATGCATTAATGGGGCAAAATAACCCGCCTTGCCATAAAAGAGTCCGGTGCCTGAATATCGAACAGGAAAACTGACAACCCTCAGCTCATGTAGCCGTGTGTAGCCTGATTTCCTGTGTGTGTGTGTGCGCACGCTTGCAGTTGGGTATTGCGGCCTCCTTCGACTTGTCTGAAGTGGCCGCCCACGAACAAGAGGCCGGATGAGAATGTGTGTGCATAGTCATATACATATACAGTTTATAAAACTATTGAACTCTGCGTGTGTAGATTTATGTGTACCTCTCTATGTACGATGATTATATAGATGTTCTCTTGTTTCAGAGTTTCTTTTGAGTCCTAACTTTAGAAGTTCTCTTGACATGAATCTGCGAGCCAAGCCAAATCAAGCCAGGCCACGGAAAACACTATCCAGCGGAACGACAGAGCCAAGGCAAAAGCATGTCTAACAAGAGACTGTAAGAGACCCTTCTACTGTACCCCTGAATGATGTGAAACAGAACACCCTCTGTGTGCTTACCATGTGTGCACGCGCATGCCTGTGTGTCTGTATCTGTGTGTATATGTGCATGCATGATCATAATGTATGTATGTGTGTATGTCTTCTTCTTCAACCTCTGTCGCACGAGTGTCATGCTAGAGGAGCAAGAGGCCGCAGTCGCAGCACTCCCGCGCGGTAGTAAGATCTATGATGCTGCCAGTGGCGCATCCTGACAAAAGCTGTCACCAGACTCTGCCAGGCTCAGATGAGCCCCAGGAGATAAAACTCAAACATCAGTCTGATGTGTGTATGTACGTACGTATGTATGTACGAATGCATGTATGTACGTGTACATGCATGGATGCGCGTAATGTATGTATGTATGTATGTATGTATGTATGTATGTACGTATGTATGTATGTATGTATGTATGTATGTATGTATGTATGTATAGACGGATGGGTGGATGGATGGATGGATGGATGGATGGATGGATGGATGGATGGATGTGTATATCTATCTATATATATATATATATACACGCACACGGATATGGATATGTATGTATGTATGTATGTATGTATGTATGTATGTATGTATGACTGTATATATGTATGTATGTATGTATGTATGTATGTATGTACATACAATGTGGCACTTTGTGCGCCATTGCATGGAGGGCTTCCCACCCCAGTAAACTAGGTTTCCATATTCGCGCCTCCCATGTCAGTTTTCGTTCCGAGCCAGTTTCTCCAGATTCGCTTGCACTGACCAGTTTAACAAACGGCAGACTGTAGACGGGCCATGGCTTGAAACAGTAAGATTTGACTCCTGAGCATTCCACGCAGCAGCAAGGCCATGCGGCGAGGCGCATTCGACTCCCCAATCGCGTCTGCGCCGCTGACATATTTTCGGGCAAAAGCTTCCGCCTGAGCAGTGACATGGCTTGAAGCTCAGACAGCACATGGCTGACATTCCTTTAGGGCACAAACTTTCTCGGCCAACCACTGCGCGCGATCGATTTGCGCCAGCTACAATTGCAATTACAACAAAGTCTGATGTTGCAAACACTACTGTTGAACTCTGCTTGGGCCAGATCGTGCTGGAAGCTATGTCAGAGTTCGCTCTCGACGAGCTGAAGGAGATGCCCGGCCCTCATGGGGGAGTGCCGGTCCGTTTTCGCCCGAAACCAATCTGCGAAAGATCTAGCGCAGAGTATCTCCTCGCTACTCCACGGGATGTTTTCATGCCATGCAATATTGCCGACTTCGCAGGTGAGCTGCATTAGTGGCACAACGCAGCTTGATGAAGGGCAGAGGCATTCTGGCTTGTCTGGGCAACCAAAAGTAGCATTTATTGTCTTTCCGTTTCCGGACAGACAAGGACTGGTGCAGTGGTCGTGGGGGTGAGGAAGACTAAAGTACATGATGCCTAGCCTAACATACCTAACGAGCTGGTTCGACCATGTCTGGGGCTACAGAAGAAGCTCGCTTGGGTGTTGCCCGAAGATCTTGCTGCAGTTCCACGCCAAGAGTATCTTCATAAGAAGCAGGAAACGACGACTACCACCATGACTACGTCATCAGGCAGACAAGACATAGGACAACCCCAGACCCCACAACGCAAAGCCACAAGGCCTGGCTACAATGACCTGTCTGTCTCCGTGAAGCTTCAGGCCCGATGGAGTACCGGAAGCAAAGCGCATGCATGACGGATTTATTGAGAAGTTTGAGATTCGGGATCTATGCGAGGGCTTTTGATCAAGACTAGCGTGCTCTAACCGAGGAGATAAAGTCTGCTAGCTGAGGGTCTTCATGTTAAGATACGCTCAGAATTCTGCGCTGGTCCTGGCCGGCATAGCATCTACAGGTGGCACGCCAAAGAGTGGCACTGCTCGAGCGCATCCTTGAGCATGACCGAGCCAGGATCTTACTTGTACCAGTGTGATGTTGCTTCTGCGGCTGTGTCTGTCGACAAGTCCAGGTACGTGACTGTATGGGTTTGACACTGCGTCATGTAGGTAGTGTCAATGCCTACCGTTTTTGGTGCGTCATATATGCAAACATAAACACATACCCGTACATGCATGTGTTATTGTATGTGAGCAAACATGCTGAACACATGCACTTATGTATGCATAGCAAGCGCTTGCATAGCTGGATTTGTGCGTGTGCACCTGGTCACGTGGTACTGAAATTTTTCTATTGCTGCAGCAGCCACTGCCACGCAACCCTGCGTTCAGATCGATAGGGCATTGTTCTGACTGAGTTCTACTATGTTCAACTACCTCTGAAAGACATCATCTAATCAAGTCACCAG